TTTTTCATTATTAATTCATAAAAGATAATAAAAAACACTGCAGCTCTCTCCAATCACATCACTACACCAGGAGATTATTCTCAGTCATTAAATAGGATTTACTCACCATTCCTGATCAGTTTTCTGTTGGAAAGATGATCCAGCCAATGGCTGAAAATCTCTCTAATGAAGCCAAAAATAAAGTTTTCTTTCAGATAGAACTGACCAACTACTTCACACCTGCTGACAAATTGATTGCTACTGGGAAAAGTAATTATTGTCAGTAAATTAAACCGTAAATTAATATTGTGGGGTACCTGTAAACTCTCGTAAGGGTCATAACTTTAGCAGTAACATACATTAGCATTGATTGTTACTTTGTTTAATACTTTGTTCGACACTCGTCCTGCTACTGATGAGATCCATGTACCATACACGTTAAATACGATAGTAGAAAACAGTAGCGCAGATCCTATACTGAGATCCCATGAATTTCAATAACTAACCACACGAAATTATGGTGTGATTTGTTTTGATTTCACCGACAGCTGGGACATATAATTGCAAACAACATTGATCCCATGAAATGCGAATGAAATCCACATTATATCATGGTGACTGGCAATTGGCAAAATTCATATTTGAAAACACATGAATGGAACGTGTGGGTTTTTTTCAGTGTAGTTCATCAAAACAAACATAGTGCAGTACTAGAATGTTGACTAGAATAGGGTACGTTAATCGATTTGCTTGGGACCAATAGGATAGTCAAGTAGTGAGCCAATTTAAAATCGTTAGTTTCCACCGGTTGGTAAAGCCGTTGGTCCCGGCCTATCTGTGTTTGAATCGAGCGGGGCGACTCTATCTACGATGCAGGAACATTGTGTTTTGCTGTGGTTAGCTGCATGCACACTGAGTAGATAGAAAGAAGATTGATGACAATTCTAAAGATTTCCAGCATAAAAATGATGTGAGATGCAAGTAGATGGGAGAAATGATTGAAGATTTTTCGAAGATTGATTCGCTAGTGTGAGATTTGTTGAGCATCTAGAATTGAGATTTAGATGTGTCGCCCCCTGCCTTCCTGCACATTCGATTGCCGTCAATGGATGGCAATCGATGTCCGTCGGCGATTGGCACTAGATTGCAGAAGAGAGACCGACGTTAAATAAAGGAAAGAAGAACATAGCGAAATCTCGACCAACAATACAAAAAGGCAAATAAGCTTTTGTAATCAAACTTTTATTGTTCTTTCCTCGTAAACCGTTGTCTTGCCAATCCAACAACACCATCAGGTAGGGGAATTTTTTTGCTATTCGATAGTGGTGTTCGATTGGTTAGGTGAGCTTCGGTATGCGAGATACAGTCCTTACAATTTGTTTGATCCGCCCTTCTGTATTGTTGGTCGAGTTCGAAAATCTTTTCTTTAAAAAAAAGCTATGGATAGAGCTGGAGGTAGTGCGTAACAGCTTTTGTAAACAATGACTTCTATCGATGATTGCTAGGAATTCAAGGCATGCCCCCACACAATCCAACATAACCATCATGTAAAGGAAGTCTTCTACTTAAAAAAGAGGAACTGCATTCATCTTTGCCTTGGGTATACTCGCTTCGAGATCACGGAATACGATTTGGACAACCCTGGCATCCGGTGAACATAAGCACCGACACGGCATCTATGGTTTGTTCATGTTTGGCTATCAATGCCGGTAGTCAATTAGGTCACCAACCCTCCGTGCAGATATTTTCGTTGCTTCCACAGAGTTGGAACTTGAAGCTTGAAACAATCACAAAAGCACACGGTAAGAAAAAAGTACCCAACGGCCAGTTCACTTTTACTTACTTTTGACTAGTTTGTCTCCTTTTCTCCTTCTAATGTTGTCAAAAACGAAGGAGCAAAACCACCCAATAGGGGTAGTAAAGTGTGGGAACCCAACGTTGAGTATAATCATATTTACCTACTGTTGGGTACAACTAACTTACTTTTGGTTAAAAAGCCAGTGGAAAATTCCATACGAACTGCACATAAGTAAATGAAAATTACTTTGACCTGCTTTACCTACTTTTGGGTTCCTGCACTATAGTGCCGAGATGAGTGAAAAGAACTTAATTTTGGGTACTTTTTTCTAACCGTGCAGGTGCTCAGGAAGTGACAGTTCACATCACGCTACACACTAAAAATAATATCAGCATAATGCTCGATAATTATAACACATTCAAGATTATCGATGAATAGTGGATGAAATCGGATAATATCGAAAGGCACGCGTTAATTCATAACGAATCGAATTCATCCAAAACAAAATCGAGAAAATTAAGCAAACTTTATTGAAATTCGTTAAAAGAAATGTAGAACACATTATTTTCGTCCCCCTCGGGTATTTCACAGTATTTCCGAGTTTTTCTCTAATCGGAAGCCACCATCTTGAATTTTAAAATGGCGTCAGACATGGAATTCCATAGGCCATAATTGGAACACACCATAATAGAAACGTATAGCAATAACTGGTACACCTACCCTATGGCATTCACATTGTTTTGACTCCTTTACTGCTGTTTTGGGTTTTTTTTTATAAATGCTGATGTCGTGTGAAATGGTTTGATTTATTTACTTACCTTGGCTTCTTCTTATTCTTCACTCAAAAAATTCCACACGCCACTTGTCTCACACTTAATTTTGCGCTTATTGTGCCTTTGGTTTGTTTTTTTCCGTCGATCTTGTTTTCCGTGCTGAGCACCAATGCTACCGACGTGCCAGGAAGGCAGCTCCCACACCTGGACCCTAAATATCGATCCATCAACTCATGAACCGGGGACCAACGGCTTTACTTCCCATCCGAAGGAAGGCGTGATCAGAGATGTTATGCCTCAGAACATCCCGGCGGCGCCGGCTGGGATTGGACCCAGGCCTGCTGGGGTGAGAGATAATCACGCTTACCACTACACCACCGGCGCCGTTGTGCGCTTATTGTGAAACACATCCATTTCATGTAACGGCGCCGGTGGTGTAGTGGTAAGCGTGATTACCTCTCACCCCAGCAGGCCTGGGTTCAATCCCAGTCGGCGCCGCCGGGATGTTCTGAGGCATAACATCTCTGATCACGCCTTCCTTCGGATGGGAAGTAAAGCCGTTGGTCCCCGGTTCATGAGTTGATGGGTCGATAGGTAGGGTCCAGGTAAGGGTAAGGTTTAGTGGGTCGGGAGTGAAATTCTCCCATCCCCACACCCTGAGTTCCTTCTCAGGTGTCTGTGAGCAGATTCCCCCCTGTATAAAAAAAAAAAAAAAAAAAAAAAGGTGTGGGAGCTGCCTTCCTGGCACGTCGGTAGCATTGGTGCTCAGCACGGAAAACAAGATCGACGAAAAAAACAAACCAAATGAAAAAAAAAAAAAAAAAAAAAAAAAAAAAATCCATTTCATGTGTGAATCTTATGCTATGAACCATGCCTGAACACTATGGATTTGAATTGTGACACACTTGGATTCTATGTGTCTCATATGGTGATATCAATAGCTTTGCACACCATAGTTCAATATTCTACAATATTCTACTTTATCGACTTCTACTTTACCGACTCTAAAAATTGAAACGACAAATATATAATCAAAACTGCCAGACGCCAGAGCTTTCACATATCTTTTTAATGGGTCTGATTTGGGATTCGATCATGGACTGTTGGGGTGTGCTGCTGCCGGAGTCTTCGTTCTATCTCACTGTGCCAGGGTTGTTCTCATATATGAGGCGGGTTAATAGGATAAAGTCACAACTCTTGTTTTCGATTTTTACCTTTCTGAGCAAGCAATTCACATCGTATTGAAATGCAAAACACTTTAAATCCATCTGTTTTGAACAGTAGCTTGATTCAATGTGCAATACACTTGAATAGAAAGTGAAAATTTTTCAACATTTCAAAGTTTGAAACACTCTAAATTAACGTGTATAACACATCGAACCAAGGTGAAATACACTTAAAGTAAATGTGATTCTGCATTTAAAAAATCAAGTGTTTAAACACTTCGATCAAACGTGTGAAATTTTTTGAGTGTTCTTCTTCGCATTTCAAGCCTATTGCATATCGCATATTAGCTTATTGCGTGCTCTCAACTTAGTGTTCCAGATGCACTTCCCACAGTTATTAATTGAGAGCTTTCGATGCCTGTACCATTTTTGCATTGGTATAATTGTATGGCAAGTCCAATCATACTTCTCTATGCCCAGGGAAGTCGAGAAATTTTCCAACCCGGAAAATTCCTAGACCGGGACCGGGAATTGAACCCAGCCACCTCCAGCATGGTCTTGCTTTGTAGCTGCGCCTTTACCGACTGAGCTAAGGGAGGCCCCTGACCTAAATAGTAATTTCAAACCATGAAAGCGCTTGAAGAAATAAAAGTAGCTAAATTTCCAGTTAAGACTAAATTGCATAAAATAAAGAAGAACAGCATACGGAAAAGGCAGAACCAGAGGTGGCAACAGATACATTTTATGCAAAACCATCGTCCAGAGCAAAACAAAACAGCCAGCACTCGGGTGGTCGTGTATAACTACATTTCAAGCAAACGGCGGAGATAGAGAATAGGAAAAATGACGCAACCGATTCTTTTTCAAACAGTTTATAATAATGAAATTTTGGCTGCAGGCTTGCGTGTGACAGTAAATTATCAACTCCCTTATTTATGTATAATTATAACATCTATGCTCATCAGTGCTTAGTATCCATATCTTTTAATTCAATGCTATAAACATCAAATAAATGCAATAATTAGCGAGAAATCAGCAACATTCTACATGACATAAATTTATGTCGCGCGCCGCTTCTTTATGTGAAAATTTCACGACGTTTCTTCCGCTTGCCAGTTTGTTTTTGTGTGTCTTCGTCATTGCGAAAAGTATCAAGTGTTATGAAAAAAATTTAAAGCCCAGTACTCGTGCCACCAGTGGGCAGAACTACACATTATGAATATTCCGAATATCTATCTTGCAAACAAATCTGTAACCAACCATTGTTTTCCATGTTTCTTCCAGATCCCAAGCTGAATCACCAGAATCTACGGCGCAAGCGATCTCTGAACAACAACTACGATCTGGTCTATATCCGGTTCGATATACCAACCAGAAACGCAACCACCGGTGAACTCGCCGGTCTAACTTCGCCCTCCATGCACAACGATCCATCCAGCAGTGGCAGTCAGCATCATCAGCACCAGCGGCACCATCAGTCGGAGCTTCCGCCAATCTCACCGGAGAACATTGAAGAATCATCACTAAACATAATGTTAACCAGAAGACAAAACAGCGAGCACAGCACAATTACGAACAGTAAACATCAACAACAGCCATCAGCAATTGCCGCCGAGGAGCATAACCCAGTGCATCACCGTCGGCGCGGAGGCAGAGTCAAATTCAAGCACAACAACCAAAACAACGGCATTGGGGGTGACGCGTCGTCGGTCGGTGCCAATACCGGGCACCAGCGGGCAGGGAAAAGTGTCAATTTACACATCTACCAACTGGTTGAACCCTACGAGCGACACTGGCTGACATCGAAAACGATCGGCGTGTCGGACCTTACGCTCAACGACAAAAAGTGGTTCCAATTACCACTGGACGAAGCCGTGCGCACGTGGCTCGATGGATCGCGCAAGAATCTCGGATTAGAAATCTACTGTGAAAATTGCTACAACAATGGCATCTTTGTCATCCACGATTCGTCTCCGTTCTTCAGCAGCTACGAAGAGACGCCGGTGCTCAACGTGGTGGGAAAGCTCGTGCAGCGTGAAAAGCGCTCCAAGGTACATCAGCGCTACAAGCCAACCATGCGTGACTACCTCTCGCCGCCCAAATCGACCTCCTGCACACCGAACAACAAACGCTGCTGCCGCCATCCACTACTGGTGGACTTCCGCGACATCGAAGGGTTCGACTTCATCATCCAACCCAAATTGTTCGATGCTGGCTTCTGTCGGGGTCGGTGTCCGTCGAAGTTCAATCCCGCTAGTCACCATGCACTGATCCAAAGCTTGCTGCACGAGCACGTCAAGTATGACGTCCCAAAACCGTGCTGTGCTCCGTCCCGATTGGATCACATTGACGTCCTGCATGCCGATCCAAAGAATCCTCAACGACTGAAGGTTTCCACCTGGAGTAACATGCGAGTCACCGAGTGCGCCTGCTCGTGATTCGCCTGCGCGGCCGGCGACGCCAACGATGACGACCAGGTTTTGCATTTATTCTGGGCCGTGAACCAATACAGTACGAACTACCAGAAAACCGATAGTATTATTTATTATCAGCGACATAGAATTTACTAGGAAAACAAACAAAACAAGCCATTGAAAGCCAAAACTCATCATACCGAAAGCAGCCGAAACTAGCGAGAGATCTTCCCGAAGTTTTTATTTAGCATCGAGGTGCAACAGAGAAGAAGGTTGTACCAGGTTGTTGCGAGTATCAAAGTTCCCTGAATGTAGTCTAGCTGCTAAACATTGCATCGAAAGTATTTATAAATTATTTATTTTATAGAAATCGTTAAGTTCTCGAGACTCGAAAACTCAGCCGCAAGCCAAAGGATACAGATTACGTAATTGGCTGATTAGGATAATTTTCCGACAAGTTTGTGTAGGCATTTTTTTTTTTCAGTGTGATCCTCCATACTGAGTTGTAAAATATTGCGAGCCGACCTATATTGTGTACAATTTTAATTTATTGATCCTTCCGTGTTGTATAGATTGTTCTTGCTTAAGTGATCGTTGTAGAGAGTATTTATGTGCAAAATTGTGGAAGTATATTTTTTGTACCTTTTTTATCGATGCAAAACAACAAGGTGGAAATTACTTATTATACCATGCCATCCCAAGTAACTGAAACGAGAGAAAACTTTAAAATAAACACTGTTTGTAGATCTAGACATAATCTAGCGAGGAAACGCAGAGTAGAAAACGATGTAGGTTTTGTTTTTCACAGTATATATCCGAACACTGCCTAATTGGAATGCATACAGTTTTTGATGGGGCTGCCCGAATGCATTTTTTTTCTAACTCTCAGGTAGAATGACTCAACAATAAATCAACACTTCAATGGAATAGTAAAGCCTTTTGAAGCAGTGTAGAGGTTTTCACCGGCAAAAGAGGACCGCAATTGGGTTCTTTAATTTTGAAAAAATATATCGTCTAAAAGGGCTTCGTTTTCTGAGCACAACGATATTTTTTTCGAAACCGTAGACTTCCATCTCGATTTTTAAATCAAAATATATAAAGCAAAACATCCACTTCACTGTTTGACACAAAACTAACAAATTGACAGCACGCTCCCTTATGTCAATGAAGTTATACAGTACCATACCATATAGGTAACTCCATGTATAATGGGAAAACCAAGTGAAATGCCATTCTAGTTCCACTTCATCAAGAATATTCTAGAGCATGTATTTGTAAAAGAATTTTCAAATTTCTTTGAAGAACTTCACTCTAAAGTAAAAAAAAAACAATCAGACGATTTTGAAAACAATTAGCCATGATGTCTTAATGTTTCAATGCCTTGTTTTAATATTCTGGAATATTCTTGGTGAGAACTGGAATGGTATTTCACTTGGTTTTCCATCATACATGGTTAAATTATATGTAATATCATTAATGATTGAATGTTTTGATTTGAATGATTTTGCTCGATTTACGCCGTAAAGTATGCAATAGTTGATATATGATGCATGCTGGATGGTATGGTACTGGATAACTTCATTGAACTCGCTCCCATACAAAATAGTTACAACAATCAATACGAAACTAACGATTTTAAATTGGCTCACCACTTTAGTAGCCTATTGGTCCCAAGCAAACGATTAACGTACCCTATTCTAGTTGAAATTCTATTACTACACTATGTTTGTTTTGATTCGCTATGAAAGTTTGACAGATAACATCAGGGGTGTGTGGATTTATGCAGAACATGCAGGGGTGAGTGAAATAGCTTGGGACTGCTTGGGACCGTTGTTCTGGTACTGAGTGAGCCAAAAATAATAATGATTTTCTTCGGGACCCAGTGGTCTTAGAGTTACCTCTATGGTTAAATTATATGTAATATCATTTATGGTTGAATGTTTTGATTTGAATGTTTTTGCTCGATTTACGCCGTAAAGTATGCAATGGTTGATATATGATGCATCCTGGATGGTATGGTACTGGATAACTTCATTGAACTCGCTCCCATACAAAATAGCACCGAGGGCCGCTAAGATGTCGATTTTCGCTAATGTAATCGCACTTATTTAGAATAGTTCCAGTGCTCCAAAACTGATGAAATTTTTGGATTTCAATTCCATTTGACATGCTGTTGAAACCACTGGGCACCAACACCGACACTGGTTCACCCACAAACGAAGTGACAGACGGAGCGGCTCGAAAACTTTGGTGACAAACCTGCTATTGCAATTTTTCAGTGTACCACATGGCAAAACGAACATAGTGTGGTACTAGAATGTTGACTAGAATGGGGTACGTAATCGATTTGCTTGGGACCAATAGGCTAGTCAAGCCAATTAAAAATCGTTAGTTTCGTATTGATTGTTGGCAATACTACCTATGGCGGAACGGATGTCCCTCCAGCCTGTAATATCCTTCTTTTTAATAAAAAGATACAACTAGTCCGGTCAATAGTAGCAACAGAAGAGAGCTCATTTATTTCCTCTTGGTATCAGCAAACCTCGTACATGAAAAGTATCTTCTTCTTTGTTTTATTCTTAGACAATTGGGTTCTTTAATTTTGAAAAAAATATATCGGTTTTATATATAATCTGAAAGAGCTTCGTTTTCTGAGCACAGCGATATTTTTTTCGAACCCACACACTTTCATCTCGATTTTTAAATCAAGATTTGTTGGAGTAAATCGGTAACGCAGTGTGCTGATCACCTCCTTGGAGACCGAACGTCACCCCTAGCAACCTAAGTTTTCTTAAATAAACAACGGTGAAAAACTTTTCATTCCTGTTCAAGACTCCACTCAAGCTAGTCGTTAAATAAAATCCATTCTACTTTTAAACTTTGCTGTTCCGGTTCTTTCTAACCATCAAGAGGTTATGGGCGACTCACGCAAGGATTTGGTCCACGGGATCCCGCAGTTCTCGGGCACCGGTTTCGACAATTGGCAATTTCGAGTGGAGAAGTATCTGAAGTCCGTGAAGCTGTTGGATATCATCAAGAAGGATCCTCCGATGGAAGCGGCCGAGCTCACGAAGTTCCAGGAAGATGACGGTAAGGCGGCGTTCCTGCTGACGTCATTTGTTCATGACGATTTGCTGCATTTGGTGCGGGACAAGGAGACGTCCAAGGAGATGTGGATGAGCCTTGAATCCGCCTACGCCAAGAAGTCCGCCTCGTCGCAGACATTCGTCAGGAAGCAACTTGCGAAGCTACGAATGATGGAAGGTTCGTCTGTGAAAGATCACCTGAAAACCTTCGAAGAGCTGATCCGAAACTGAAGCTGGCCGGAGCGAAGCTTGAAGAGAACGATATTGTGTCCCAGCTGTTTGCTACCCCTCCCGAGTCGTTCGATCCGTTGGTTACGGCACTGGAAAATCTAGGTGAGGAAAACCTAAAACTGGATGTTGTTCGCGAGCGCCTTCTTGCCGAGGAGCTCAAGAAAACCGACCGGGCAGCGGATTCCTGCCAAGAGAAACCTGCAGCATTCCAAGGATCGAAGCAGAAGCCTGGTAAGTTCACCGGAAAGTGTAACCGTTGCCAGAAGAAGGGGCACAAGGCCAAGGACTGTCGTGTGAAGTTGAAGACAGATGGGCGCGCTGAAGCTAACGCTGCTGCTGGAGGTAAGGCGGTGGCTTTTATGACCGGGAGATGCTCCCAAACAAAGGACGAGGGAGCAGTTTCCTTTAAGCTGGATTTCGGAGCCTCGGACCACCTTGTGAATGTGAAGCACTGTTTCGCCGACCTCACGAAGCTGAAGCACCCTGTCTAGTCTAGTCTAGTCTACACATACACAGCCAGTACTTGAAAGAATCCTGGAAAATGATACATCTATCATTTTTCTTGTCATTATTAATGCCTGCTGCACATCAAGGATGTGAAACAAACAATAAAGCGGCCAGGCCTACTGTGTAGCGTTTGGTTAATTTTTGTGGAAGTGAATGTTTTCCATGTCTACTTAATAAGTATAGACAGTGGTTAACATTTAATCCACAGGTAATCAAAGAGCGGGGACATACCGTACCAACCACTCCGTATGCAGGATTTGAAAATAGGCTATATAAATCGTTGGGAGTGACAGAGCTAAGAAAGTTAATGTACACTCCTTGGTTGTCCGATCTCCTGGGATGGAACACAGGTATTTACCCCTTGTGTTCGAGCGTACAGTCCTCCCTCCGTACAAGCGTGGACGGCATCGCCAACCCACTGCCATCCCTCAATCGATCCAGCCGACCTCAGTCGAAGGACAACAGAGAGCGGTGTGCGGACGTAACCTATACGGAGGGAATGCTGTATTCGCCTAGGTTATAGCGCCCTTGCTCGCTATTCGTTATTCGCTGTCTACAATGAGAAGAAACAATGCATGAACTTACAACACGCCCCGCATACACGTAGTACCGATATAAAATGTATATTGGTACTGCGTGTACACTTCCATCATCAAAGCAATTCCTGCTTTGTAGATGGCACGTATTTAGTAGGATGTCTCCTAAAAAAATAGGATGTCTAAAATCCATAGGATGAAAGTTAAGTCTCATCCGAATCAAATGATTCCAAATGCTACGGATTCATAGAAATTAAGTTTAAATTGATAAAAGTAAAAAAAGGAACAATCTCACCAAATCAGTCCAAGTGAATCCTTTGCAAGCAGCTCTGTCACGTTTGGTGTAGTAGTTCCGATCATAGACCCGCCTTACGGGGATCAATCCTCAGGTTTAATATAGTCAATTGCTCCTTGACGCAAACACGAAGCGACCGCTCATAAAATCATACAACGCATAAATAAACTGAACTTAAAAACTATCACTCGCGATGCCACAAATTTCTGGAGCGGGAGCATAAGCGAAATCTAATTACAACTTCACAAAAGTCGAGAAAAAACGGAGCAAAAATTGACGGCTGAAAATTTTCCATGTCTTTCTTCGAGCACAGCACACTACGATCACCCTCACGAAGCTGAAGCACCCTGTCGTCATAAACGTGGCGAAGGATGATCAATCCCTGATTTCCCGGCACAGTGGCACGATCAACGGCGTCAACAAGGAAGGTAACTATATCAGCTTGAAGAACGTCCTCTTCGTACCAGATCTTCGAGCGAACTTGCTATCTGTGAAGAAGATGGCAAAAGCGGATCTTGATGTCACATTCACGAAAAAGGAAGCGATCATGAAGCAAGGTCGTGACCTGATTGCGAGATGTCCCATGCGGGGCGATTTTTACGAGCTCGATCTCCGTGTCGATACGGTGGCGGCCAACATGTGTGGAGCTGTGACTGGTAACCTGTGGCATCGTCGACTGGCTCATTTGGGGAGCAAGAGTTTGCAGACACTCGCGAAGCATGGCATGGTAACAGGTATTCCCGAGAAACCAGATAAATTGGATTTTTGTGATGTTTGTGTTCTCGGAAAGCAGTGCCGAGAACCATTCACGGGTACTAGAGTCCGTGCTACAAGACCTCTAGAACGAGTGCACTCCGATGTGTGCGGTCCAATTACACCAGCGGCTTGGGATGATTCTCGGTACTTCGTCACCTTTATTGATGATTACACGCACTTTGCAGTAGTATATCCCATCAAGAAGAAGTCCGAGGTGTTCCAGAAGTTTCGAGAGTACGAGGCCATGGCGAGTGCCGCTCTGGGACATTCGATTTCGAAGCTGACTGTCGACCAAGGGCGCGAGTATTGCTCCAATGACCAGCGTGATTGGTACGTTTCCAAGGGGATCCAAG